AAGAAGGTATACTGCGCACAGAACGACTGCGGTTGCATTCACTTCTTAAATTATACACCAAAGGACGTCTTCAACCCCAATCCATAAGTTTCAGATATCCTTCCTGATCGCAAGTTGAGCTCCAATAACAAGAGTTACCACGGAAGCCTGGGTTATGTAACGTTACATAACAGACAGGCGGTATGAGTAATATTTCATAACACCAGAGACCCCGACACCAGGGCATCTCGTCTCCTTTGCTCTTTTTTCTCACTTCATCTCCTTTCTGATGTTCCAATCAATGGCGTTATTTTCCAGAAAAGTCCCCTTGACGGTCATCGGTGGCTTTGTATCAAACAGAGCGTGTGTTTCTGCTCTTTCTTCTGTCTATCTAACGCCAAAGCAGACACTTCCCTCATCCAAATTTTGATATCAAAGAGTCATCAGACCCCCCCTAACTGTAGTCTCCTCTCGCCCTGATTTCTGCCTTCTCTGAGTCCCCTTGAGTGCTAACAGGGTCAGGATTGGGTCACGGCACAGATGCACGCCATCCACCAACAGGCCATGGCAAAGGACCAATCACAGACGCTCGGCGGCAAAACCACCATCAGGATGCTTTTCTGAAGATAATGGATTTTATATTGCAGCAGATTAATGAGTATCAACAACAAGCTCTTTGTTGGCTCAGATGGTGAGAATGTGAAAACTACGAACTGCAGACGCATAATAAACGAGACCCAAAGCAGCAAACGCAAATGCCCTGACCACATTATTAATATATCATACTGCTTTTAGATTTTCATTCATGTTGCCCTGAATATAATATACAGTTAAAGTTGGTATTATTCGCTCTTTTGTGAATCTTTTAAAAAAATAATTTCTCAAATGATTTTTGACAGGGCAAGGAATTTTCCACAGTATTTCCTATAATATTTTTTCTTCTAAAAAAATCTTATTTGTTTTATTTTGGCTAGAATAAAATTAGTTTTTAATATTTTAAGAGTCATTTTAAGATCAATATTATTAGCTCCATTAAGCATTATTTTTTCAATTGTCTACAGAAAAAAACATCGTTATACAATGACTTAATTAACCGAACTTGCCTAATTAACCTAGTTACGCCTTTAAAAGCAACTTTAAGCTGTATACTAGTATCTCAGAAAACATCTAGTAAAATATTCTGACTAAAGACAAAAGAAATCCGTTATTAGAAATGAGTTATTAAAGCTATTATGTGCTGAAGAAAATCTTTCCATTAAATAGAAACTGGGGAAAATAATATACAGTGAGGCTAATAATTCAGGAGGGCTAATAATTCTAAGTCAACGGGATAAGCTAAATTAAAAGCTAAAAGTCTCTGTGAAATTCAAATGGATTAGACGTTTGCATCAATATATTAATTTTACGCCCTATTCAGATTGGCTTGACGTAGGGTGTTTTGGGGGGTTTAAACTGTAAATGACACGATTCAATCGTTTATTCTCATATAATGACTACGTTTACATGGACGTCTGTAATTGAATGATTTGCCTTAATCTGGATAAGACAATAATATGAATAAGGTGTTGATGATGTGAGAGGAGTTGCTTTTTGAATGTTCCGTTCATGATCCCGTTTCACATGTTATAGCACATAATTCGATTAACGTTATTGCATCACCACGCCACCACAGAAAATAGTGTCAAACAGCTGTGTGTACAGACTATCCTGTCACAAAAAGAGAAGAAAATCCTACACGACGGTAATAGTTTGATTAAGGTGTTTACATGTCTGCTACTGCACTTTAATAATGCGACTAAAATCGGCATACTCCACATATCTTAATTTGATTTCTGTTTAGTTTGATTATGACCTTAGTCGGATTAAGATCATCAAAAATCGCTGTTTACATGGAAGACTCTTAATCAGCGTATTGTCTTGATAGTATTAAAATCAGATTATCGGCGTCCATGTAAATGTACTCAATGTGCATGACTGATGCCATGTCTGCGATACTTTGCGATTATCGCAGAAAGTCAAGCATGTTTATGATTTTTCCTCGCCATCCATGACAAGTTTCGTCATTTGAGTGACACTGACCAATAGCAAAATGACTTAATAAAATTGAAGAAAGCTTTGTGCTGTTATGGCAGTAGTGCGCTAGTATGACGTGTTATCACAGAACAGACAAGACAGAATAAAAAAATAATTGTTGCCGATCGATATGACTGCACGATATTGGAAAAATTGGATATTGCGATATTTTATTTTTCAACAATATATTGCAATATACCTTCATAGGGAGGCTCATTCACAGTTAACCAAAAGAGTGCGTTTTTAACCCAATTATGGTATTAGTTAAATGATTAAGAAATATAATTTTATATATTTTTAACGTTTGGCTGCATAAGGGGCCAATAACAGTGAATGCACTTTTTTGCATATAAAGAAGCATCTTTAGAATGGTTTACTAATGGCCGCAAGTGTTTTTTCACGTTTTGTAGTTGCGCGCTGTGTGCTCACAGTTAAAATAAAAGTAATCTCTGAGCGAAAAAAGCATGTTACGTCAGTCGCGTCTATACTAGACTCTATGTCCAGCCTTGTATTCCTGTTTAATTTGAGATTCTGTCAAAAAACTCTATAAAAATACACATTTTATAGCACGTCATGGGGCGTTTAAAAAGGAAAGAAATCACCAAACTATCTAAAAATATTGCACGGTGATGATATAATTGCTACAAACTGCTACGAAAAAAAAATCTAACTAAAGCTTCAGATTATTGTAGTTTGTTTTATTAACAAAATATTTACTGTTTAAATAAAAACTTACTTGCAATTTTAAAGGGAAAATTAAACTTTCAACTTCAGAAGCGAAGAGAAAAATTAACATGAAATTGCATGATTAACAAGACATCTTGACTTTGCATATAAAAGGAATTAATACGATTTTAAAATTACCCATATTTTCATTCTACATATCTAATTGTGTGTTTTATTATGCTGTGACCTGAACCAGTGTGAACCAGTCATAAGGCTCAAATTTTTGGAAATTGTACTTGATTTATTATATGCAAGCTAAATGAATGCACTTCCCATTGATGTATGGTTTGTTACATACTATACAACTATTGAAAATCAGAAATCTGAGGTTTCATAAAACGTATATAAAGAAAATTTCCCTTAAAGTTGTCAAATAAGTTCTTTGTAACTAGCTACAATTACATTTTGATATATTTAAGGTACAAAATTGACAAAATTTCTTCATAGAACATGAGCTTTACTTAATATTTTAATGATTTTTGGCACTAAAAATAGAAAATTTTGACTTACAAACTGTATTTTTGGCTATTCCCACAAACATACCCCAGGCAAGACTGGTTTTGTGGTCCAGTCATATTTGTTTGAATTCTTTCAACAGTTATTTATGGATTTAAATGATATTTTTGAACTTGCTTTTTTGTTTATATATTCAAAAATAATAATTTATTCAGATTTTTAACACAAAAATTATAAATTACAACCTCAGACTAGACAACATTTATGTTGTGTTGTACAATTCAACTAAAACTTTCAAATATGCAACAGCACTCAAGAAATCAAGCTGTATATTACACCAATTTATTCAAATCATTCATTTTCCAAAATGACCTTTAGTAAGTTTAGTATTGCAGATGCTAGCTAGCAAATAAAAGTGTTAACTGTCATGTTTTAGATTTATACTGCCTTATTTTTTAATTCAGTTTGAAAGTTTAGTGTTTTGTTGTATTATAGCTTCTGTCGTCTAGAATGTCTACATAGTTATAGCATTTGTTTAGCTTAACATGAAAAATTGGCCCATTATTTAACCTTAAATTGTTTAAATGAATGACGCACAACAACAAATCATGTATTAAAGAGAGATATTAAAGGGAAACAAAATGTTCCGTCATCAATTACTCAACCTCATGTTGTAAAAATCTTCTTCCTTTGGTGGATAATGAAAGAAGATGTTTTGTCTACAAGTTAAAGGTTAAGAAAATGGTTTGGTTACTTACATCTTTTAAAAATATATCTTCATTTGAGTTCCGCACAACAACAAAAAACAAATTTCTTACAGATCTGACATGAAGGTGAGTAAATGATGACAGAATTGTAATTTCTGGATGGACTATTGTAATATGCATAGTCCACAACAATGTAAACTCCATTTAAGAAAACCACATTAGGATCTAAATACACAATTAAACGTTACTCCTACCAGATCCAGGTTCATTAAGGACCAAACGCAGACAGCAGAAACCACAGACACTCCCTCAGTACAAAAATGTGGAGAGTCACCACAAAAAATCTCATCCAGGATTATTTCGGGGAATGGACAGATGAACATCACGACACAGCGCGAGACATTTCAAAAGCAACGTCTGACTTAATGCCTTGATGCACCGAGCAAACCCCTGGATGAGATGTGCACTTTCCCACATGTGTCCGTTAGCTCATTCGCCGTTCGTAAGCGGTTCCGACCCGTTTTCGATAGAGTTTTCCAAACTCTAAGACCCATCTTGCCTAGTTCTAAACGTACATGTCAAACATGGCACACATGCAGGCCTGGGATCTGTAACCATTGTCTCTGATTCCCATGAGCTAGCGGACGACAGGATGGATGGACAGTGAGTTGTGGGGGTTCCCGGATGAAAGAATGATGAACAGAGGAAGTTAGGGGCTAACCAGGGAAAGAGAACGACCCCCACGATTCGAAGCATGTTCAAGCACGCACTCACAAAACGCATATGTAGAATCACTTACAGAAAACGTCCTGCCATGCAAAATCAACATCGATAAAATCGTGAAGGAATGAAGAAACAATAACGCAGCACACATCTCACGCATGCTTTAATTCGTTCCTACACCAATTTCCTGCGCCCTACACATCCCCAATATCAGCAATTCAGAACTACGAGTGTTCAGTTGAAAGAAATTAGTAATTGTGTGGAAAGAATAGTGAAAAAAGTGAGTAGAGAGTTAAAGCAAAATCAAAAAGGGTTAAAACAGAAAGACAAGAGTACCAGTCTGGCTGTTCCTCCTTTTCCCGCGGTTTCGCTGATCCCACGTTTGGCTCTTTCTCCCGTTGCTCTGGGTCCTTCCTCCTCTCTCCGCTATCCTAGTGGCAGTCACTTCTCTCCTCTTAGCGTTTCCTCCCAAACCACGTTTTTCATTTCCTCCTACCCATCCCATCAGCCCATTTCCTACTCTTCATTCAAACCGTGCTCTGAACTGCTTTCGCTCTACGACTGTGGGATTTTGTGGAAAGAAAACTATGGAACAAATGAACCAAAAGAACAAATCATGAATGTAAGTGCAGAAAAGAGCGGACGGTGCTCAGGCACCGAGACAAGTAGGAAAAGGAGCTGCTGAAGGGGCCTGTTTTCTTTTTTTTTAGGGAGGCTCACAGAGGGGTGGGGGGGACTATTAGAAAGGCTGAGCGTGCTTCTCCGTCCAGGAGGGAGGAACACGGATGAAGCTGCCAGGCTGCTGGGATGAGAAGAGAAGCACTGCAGCCGGCAAAGGAAGAGAGAGAGAGAGAGAACGTAAGGGCGCATGTGTACGCAAGCGACCGCATGAGGAGGTGGGAGGGGAGAGAATGACAGAGAGGGAACGATAGATAGAAAAAAAAGAGGCTAAGGGGTTCACGGAAGGGAGGGAAGAAGGAGGAGTGAGCCGTAGTCGAGAGTTCAGGGGAGGGGGCCGGAATACATTTTCTTGTCCTCCGCACTCGTCTCCCAGCTTTCGATTTTTTCTTTCTTTCATTTGCTCTTCTGTGCATGCCTTTCTTTCCCCCCACCCAAATCTCACCTTCTTCATTCCAGGGCAAATATCTGCAACTGGAATGGAAGAGGATATTCCAGACTATGTTGTCCAGGCTCTCGCTCTCTCCCTCTCTTCCAGGTCATTTTCTCCACATGCACTTGAACTCCAGATCCTGTCTGCGGCCCCTCCCCCTCGACCTCTGTGACTTGCTCTCCTTCGCTGCTTCTGATGGAGGCTTGAAATAGTGCTCGCAGGCTGTAAGTGAGAGTGAGAGGGAGGGGAGGACGAGGGGGACAGAAAGGGAGAGAGAGACGAGGGGGGAAGGGGAGAAGGTTTACACGAACAGACTCTGCGCTGAGAGTGTGTACGCATGTGTCAGACGGAGAAAGAAACCCCGTGCACATACATGTGTCCACTGACTTTGATTCTCAGAAATTACAGTGAACCGCACAAAACATTCATTCTTGGAAGGGTTTTAACACAGGGGCATCTATTGTCTTTGAGGGGCCACCAGTGACAGTCTTGCCTCATGTGATAACTTTTTAACTCTAAAAAGGCTAAATTTGTCATTTCTAAATAAAATGTAACCAAACTTCATGATAAAACATGATATTTCTATAATATTAGAGCAGATTAGTGTATTGCCAGTGTACTTTAAAGGGCACCTATGATAAAAAACAACTTTTGAAAGCTGTTTGGACTGAACTGTCTGTATGTATAGTGTAGTCTATCTGTGCATTGTTGCTGACCATGTTCATCCCTTTATGACCAGAGTGTACCCATCTTCTGATGGCTACTTCCAGCAGGATAACGCAGCATGTCATAAAGCGCGAATCATCTCACACCGGTTTCTTGAACTTGACAATGAGTTCACAAAAAGGACCTCCAAAGTCACCAGATCTCAATCCAATAGAGCACCTTTGGAATGGAACGGAAGATTCATGTATGTATGTATAAACAATTTCAAATAATTATACTAGTTGTCTATATAATATCTGAAAAATCTGAACAATAACCTTAAGAGACTGGAGAAATCCCTGTTTCACTTACCTGGCAATGCGAAAGTGTCAAAAGAACAACTAAGGCAAATAAAAAAAAGTAAAAACTGACTTTTAAATAAGCTTATTTACCTGTTTCAAATCAACCGTAAGATATTACAACATATGGAGGTCTCACACACGCAACTTCATTATCAATGACATTCACTGACATATTTCAAAAACCATCTCGCGTATTAGCCTAATTATAAAGCAGTTTATTGTAAAGTAGTTTGCTCGAAACAAATTAATTACAAATTTGACAAACAAACTGAAGTAATTTACATTTTAAACATCATGAGCTACTCCACCAGAGGGAACCATTTCAGAGCAGACGCGGACTCTTATCACAGCAACACACAGTAAAAGTGTTTACTGAATCAGTAATTTTCGTCCTAAAGTTTAAACTTAAAATGACAAACCTCAGTGCAGTACAGAATTATTTAATCTCAAAAACCTTTCCTCAGTGCCAGAGTTTTTCTTGTATTTGTTTTAATTATAATTAAAATGGATTGTGACAGCTTTATAGTTTAATAAACTGTATGTAATAAACATTATTTTCAGAAATGTTCTTATTAAACATAAAAATCTGACCTTGCATGGGGACTGGATTGCGATTAGCCCACAGAGGTTTTGTGTAAACTGTCGTCCCATTAAAATCCACCTTGTTCAAAATCAATCTTTACTGCCTGAAGTATTTTAGGGTGGACACACTCCGGACAAAAACTATTATAACAAATTGCATGTGCTGCTCTACGTTACCGCAGTATTTCAATGGACACTGCTCGGTGCTCAGCTAACGTTAATGGCTAACTGCTCATGGCGCTTCAAATAATAGATCTTCACCTTATTTTACGGTTTGTTTTAGATCAATTTAACTGACTATATTCTGATTATAAATTAATATTACTCTATGCTGTTAAAGTAATCTCATGAAACTGATGATAAAGTCACAACAACCTTCCACAGAAAGTCTTTCAGATGGATTAATAAGGTAACGTTAGCTTGTGCTCATTAGCGGAGTGAAAAGTGGAATTAAAGGGATAGTTCACCCAAAAATGAAAGTTCTGTCATCATTTAATCATTTAGACCAGTTTGAGTTTTTTATTTTCTTGGAACAGAAAAGAACGTTCTGAAGAATGTTAGAAACATGTAACCCTTAAATCCTCTGTAATACAAATCTTCATTTGTGCTTAATAAAGAAGTAAAGAGTAATTAAATGATGACAGAATTTAATTTTTTGGGGGTGGGGGGGGGGTGAACTAACTAAGGACACTTGGAAATAAAATGAAGAATGATGACAACATTCCAAAAATAGTTAAAAAAAATGCCTTGTAATAATAATGCAATACAATATGGGAAAAATCTTAATTTTTACAAGATATGGACACACACACACACACACACACACACACACACACACACACTCACCCTTAAAGCGTGTCCAGTGTCCTTAAAGTGTTAGTTCATCCAAAAAATTAAAAATCTTTAATAATTTAATATGATTAATATATCTGTACTTGTTTTTTTTAATCTCTTGACATACACTTTTAATCCAAATTCATTGTCAGTAATATTTTAGAAAGTTTTTATTTGCTAATAATTGATCGAAAATGTACAGCTATATTGTGAAATTATAATTTCAAATAAAGGTGCTTAGTTCGAATTTATAGCAAAATGTGATTTATTGGGATGAAAAGCTGAATTTTCAGCATCATTACTCCAGTCTTTGGTGTCACATAGTCCATCAGAAATAATGTTTCATGTCCTGAGTTAAAGATTTATTTTTATTTTGATCAATTTAATGTGTCCCTTTTAAAATAAATGATTAGAAGGTAAATGATAAACAGCAGGGGACCCAGAACAGAACCCTGGGGTGCACCTGTATCAACAAGGACTGACAGTGAGGTAAATGATTTTAACTGGAGTGGTCTGAGAGGTTGAGGGGCTGTGTTAAAGATTCTGTCCAAAACATTGGTGTGTGTGATCGTGTTAAAGGCCACACATAGATCTAGCAGGAGAAAAATGTGAAAATAAGACAGAGTCAACTGCTAGATTGTGGTCATTGGTGATTTTAAAGAGTGCTGTTTTTATCCACGAATCAAAAAATTATTAACAACAACAAAGTTTAAATGTTACACAGTATACACTGAATACTAAACATACAAAATGCATATAAGAAGACCCTTGGGATGCTTTTCCAAACAAAGCCGATGTTGTTCTGTCATTTGCTTGTTAACCTCATGTTCTCCATGACTCTTTTTTTTACTTTAGGGTCTTCAGCACAGTGTGAAAAGCAATTTCAACTGATTTGTCAGTGATTTTGCTGCAGATCTCAGCCAGTGAGGATCGGAAAAGGAGGGAAGGCAAGCAGCCAATCAAGTATAATAGTGGAAAACAGCATAGTGTTACGATTTGACTGTCTATTTAAATTATTATTAAAAATAAATAGGAGATGTGCATCATACCTAACACCTACATGAACCATTTACTGTTGTTTTTGTTCATGTAAGTCGTTCCCCTTGAATGTTATTGAGTTTTAAATTATGGATTTTTAGTGTAAATTTGTTCTAGCAATATTTCAGCGGTATATTCTTAGTTCATAATAATTTACTAACACTTAACGATCACTAAAGATTAATAAATGAGAGGTACTTTTCATGTTTATCAGATTTAATTAACTGATATTAACAAATGAAAGCTTATTTTAAAGTGCTACCTAATATTCCTTTCTGAATGAATCAGGTTTTTGAACAAAATGATTGAATAATGAGGAATGAATTGCTTATTATTAGCAATTTGTCGTCATCTACAGGTAAAGAATGTGTCTGCATCACAATTAATGTGACAAAACCAACATTTTGTTATTTATAGTAAAGTGTATTGTACATATATATTATTGTATTTAACCACAGTGAACTGACAAGCTGTAATACTTTAGTTTTTACTACAGTAAACTGTTGTATTGTTGTATGATATGCCTAGTTGTTGAAAATGTACATTGTAAAAAAAAAAATCATTGTATTTATGGCGTTTTTTAAGGTAAGTGATTGCAAACAATTTATATAGGCTTAATTTAAACAAACTAATTAAATGTAGTAATGTTCAACTTCAATTATTTGTTTAAATTAAGCCCATATAAATTGTTTACATTTACAGCCTACCTTAAAAAATGTAGTAGATCCAATTAATATTTTTTTCAGTGTACTACAGTACTGAGTAATTTGTTTACATTACTGTGGTTGTATTACAGAATATAAGATACTTCAGAATACTATAGAATTACAGCAATGGATTCATTCAAGTAGTATGGCTAAGGGTGCTTTTACACTAGCACTTTTGGTCCGCACCCAGGTTCATTTGACGCCATAGTACAGTACGTATAACTAGTGTGAATGTGTCTTTTCAACTTGGGTGCGCACTCATGAACCGTACCCGGGTGCGCCTCAAAGAGGGGGTCTGGGGTACGGTTCATGCGAACTCTGGTACAGTTCACTTCTGGTATGAATGCAATCGCACCAAATAACGGAAGTGAACAACCAACTGTACAACAATCTATAGTTTTCATAACATTCATTCATGTGTGTGCATGTGTGTGTCACATATTGTACCTTGGTGACAAGTGGGACTGAGCCAGGGCAAACACAGTGTCTACAGAAGCTGTTTTTAGAGGAGACAAGCAGACATCACTGTGTAATGATCTAAATGTTTATAATATTTCTGCGACAGATAGACGCAAGTCGCTTAAACTAAATGATTCAGTAAAAGCAAAGAGCATAGAACCACCAAGAGGCGACACTCTAGCACAATTTGGGAAACAGCCACTAGATGGCGCGGCGGCCATTTTGGAATGAAAACTCCAAGACCAACAGCATATTATAAGTCTGTAAAATAAACTATAAAGAGTGCTGATGATTGTCATAGTGAGTGTTGTATTGTCGTCTTTCAGGTTGTATATCAGCTTTAATGTGCTTTTTAAATACAAAAATAAAAAACAGCAGCTGTTTGCCATTGCAAAAGCAATAAGATCCAATGGACAGCCGATCGCTTTCACTCCAAAATGGTGGAATCCGGGGCTGTTGCTGGGGGCTGCTGTTGCAATGGAACGTTCTATTGAGTGTCGCCTCTTGATCATTCTAAGCTCTTTGGTAAAAGCAAATGGACCGCGATGTGTGGAAGTCTTTCCATTTTGGCATTTTGCTTTCGTGGCCGTCACCTAGCAACAGCCATAAACAGAAAAGCAGCTCAGTGACGCAAGCAGACTGGGGTTCAGAAGGAAA